GATACTTCTCCATATATGAAAAGGGGCATGCAGTATGATTATCACTAACTTTGCAGTATGATCACTAACCAATTTCCCAACTTGTATAATAAACATATCTCTAAAAGACAAGAGAACTAGATTTATGGTTGTGCCTCAGCTAACATTTTTTGATAGCCCATTTTGTCGCATGATCTTTTGACCTTTCACTTTCATTGTGCAATACATGAAAAAAATTCCAAGAATAAGCGGAGGAAGGAGGAGGGGTCCTGTCGAATATTAGTCAACTTCCATTGTTCATTGTTCGAGTGTTCCATTTTGATATGCAAGGACGTTTCATTTGGTTTTAGGAAAATTATTTTCACAGCAGTTCTGTTCTCCTCTTATCTTCCTCCTGCTTCTGCAACTGCCGAGGGGCTTGATTTTATTTGCATGATTCGTGTTTTATCTTCTTTTTTTTACCAAGCAGACGATATTAACAACCATTTTCTTTCCAGACTAGAAAATGTACAAGTTTCTTTTGTGCAGCCTTGTATGTCCCTTGTTTTGTTATACAATTATAGGTAGATTAAAACAAAAAAGGAATAATATTTGTATATTTGGGCATCTAGGTAATCATTATTACTTCCATTATTATTATTTTTTTTTTTTTTTAATAATTGTCACTATCATTATTATGGATATTATTATATTATTATTATTATTATTATTATTATTATTATTATTGTCTCTGTTCGAGACAACGCTGGGTGGAGGAGGCCTGTGGGACGACCTTGGAAGTCGTGGCTTGGGCAGATCGCCAAACTTGTCATGAAGAACTTGAGATGGCTGAGACCCTGTGGCGACTTGCCATGAGGGATCCTTGTAGGTGGAAACAATGGTGGATGGACTATGCGCCCCCGTCGGTGTTAGCTCCCTTATGATGATAATGATGATTATTATTGTTATTGTTGTTATTATTATTATTACTATTACTATTATTGTTATTATTATTACTATATTATTGTTATTATTTTATTAATTATTTGTTATTATTATTATTATTATTTTATTATTATCTTTATTATTACACTTTTGTACAAATTAGTATTAACCCATTGGGTCCAGGTGATAGAGATGTCACATAATGAAAATAATTGGGAACATGTCATGGAAAAATTGGCTGTGGGGCCGGGTGACAGGAATGTACCATTTATAGGGTATGGCTGAAAGAGGCCCAGCTCCAGCGAGGACACAATTACCATGCACAGTTACCTGTTCCTGCTTTCTGCGACTGGCAGTGGAGTGTGTTATGGAAAACTGAATATTAAAAACATTAAAAAAAAAATTAAAATAACGTTTTGTAAATCATTGTTACTGTTATTGTGCAGATTTGTAGACTACCTGTAGAGATAACATGGAGTCTGGTTAATGAAAATAGTGTATTACCATCTTGATACAGCATAGCGGATAACAAATATAGACCTCCGTAACTGGAAAAACAGCAGAATAAGAAATAATAGCAGAGGAAAGAGAAGGCAAAGCATCTTGATATTGTGTATGTGTTCATGTAGGCCAGTCCTACAAGACACACACCCGTGAGAATTGCCACTCAAGATTAATACCTGGATTTTGGTCCATTTGGAAGGTACCCAGATCAAACATGTTAATCAGTGAATTCGTAACATGATATTAAATGATCAGAGGAAAAATATACACAGTGATATTGAAGGATAGAGGAAAAATATACACAATAGTCTATTTGAATTCATCTGATGTTATGAATTGAACATAGTTCAGTAAGATTGCTAGACAAGAATGCTACTGCACCACACAGCACACATATTGTGTGCTGTTTGTATAGTATGAAAGAGCTGCTCACTGTAAGTCATTATTAATTTTTTCTTCAATACCTTTACAGAATACTTTAAGAATGGACACACTCTTTACCTGAATTCTGGCCTGAGTTCATCCAGGAACCACTATGGACAGAGAGTGATCACTCGTGAGGCAGATCTTGTCACAGCACACGAGTTTGGACACAACTGGGGCTCCGAGCACGACCCAGACCGACCAGAGTGCAGCCCCAGTGCCAGTCAAGGAGGATCGTATCTCATGTACACATATTCTGTGTCTGGTTATGACATCAACAACAAGGTAGGGTAACAGGGTAACTGAAATGAATGCTATGTTAGTAAGGAAGTTAGACTAAACATATTGTTTTAGAGGATTGTTTCATATTAATGCTTGCACATTGCAGTTTAAGCATTGGCTGTGGAGCACAGTTATTGATACAGTTTTCTCCATTAAAAAGCTTTGATTATCACTGTTTGTTATAACCAGAATGAAGCCATTGGATATGTTATAATGCTAGTTGCTGTAACGAGACTAATGTTTTTTCTCTTTTATCTTTATATAAACTCTTCTCCAAACTATAGCTTTTTCCTTACTAGTGTCAAATAATGAATATACATACCAACATAATACCTGAATGTCTGATATTTATGACAGTTACTCTATAAGTACTGTCCAGTAATACTGTGCAGAATGAGACAAAATCTCAGATGACATAATTAAAGCTGCGTTCGTACCATACCTTGACACGTGCAGAAGGGTGGTTCATTTTTACACCTTTTTGTTATTTATGAATACTAGAAAGAAGTCTTTAGGGGGAATCTGCATTAACTGAAATAAAACATTGTTTAAAGATATGAAATATGAATTTGTGCACTTCCACTACAGGCCTTACTAAATTTCTCAAAATGAGAAAGGTAGTTAAGTATACAGACAAAAATGCCAGATGTCAACCACCATTTTCTGTGCGTTAAATCTTGAAATCTGTTGATTTATTTTTTATTTTTTTTTTCTTCATATACCTTTTAATTTTTGCTTATACATGTTATAATGTACTAGTCTGTTGGCATTTGGTTATATAAGATAAATAAAAATTCCTTATTAAACACATAGAATTAATAGTATTGTCCACCAATGTTAACCCACTGGCAATAGGCACATGCATTGCCCACTAAAGGTTTGTCTTTTCAATTTAGTTTTATAAGCATTTACTCACCAAAGGGTCAATAACTTAGTCGACCTGATCTCACCTTTTTACCTTATCCCCTGACTTTTGGGGAAGAAGAAAAGTCCTAATGATGTTACTATGTTTATTAACGTTATTATTATTATTAACAATATTATTACTATTGTTATTATTATTAACACTACTGATATTATTATTATAGCATCAACAGTTATAACTATTAAAAATTCAGAACTTTTACTTAAAAAAGATTCAAGGAACTGGGTAAACAGGGGAATTCTTTTAGGTCTAGTAATTGACACCATGGTTGATTGCATTTTCTGTAGGAAGATGTTTTGTCAACTGACAGTGCCATTATGAAATATTACATGCAACAAAATCAAGTGACATTTTTTTCTAATGAGTTTCAAGTAAAATATGAAATAGAGAAGTTACTGTATATTTCGAATAATGCTTTGATCTCAGTAATCAGTGCTTGAAGAATCGCTTGTATGACAGGCGCATATAATGGGTGCTAGGGATTCATGAAGAACTACATAAAATACTTTGGAAGGAATGTAAAATATGATTTTGCTTTATTTTAAGCAGAATTTCAGAAGCTGTAGTAATTGCAACTTATAAGTGCAGTGATTGGTAAGACCGCAGAGACAAGTAGACTGCAGAAGAAGGGAGTTCTTATGTTGAACCAATTTCTTACTGGACTAGAGTGCAGTTTGTATCTGCATTGCAAAAGAAAAGAATGAGAATGTAAGGGATAGGACTAAGATTAGGCTTTGTAGGAGGAAGATGCACACTTTTTAATTAAGGTCTCTCTCTGTCTGGTGTTTCACGTCTAGCCAGTTTGCCAGTATTGCTTATATCCCCTTTTGAAGCCTTTGTGTACATAATTCAGCACAAAATTTAGAGGTCCAAGATGTAATTTGTAGGTCTTTAGTCTGACAGGTTATTAATTACTTCATATATTGGCATGGATAACTTTTAGGCTAGGTTGAGTTCTGGGCTTTTATAAATATGAAATTTCAAAAATGTGATTAAAGAAGCAGGAAAAGTGGATACAACTTTTTACATCTCTTCCCTCAGAGGTTCTCCCCATGCAGTCTGAGAGCGATCCGTGCTGTCTTAGTAGCCAAGTCATCTCGCTGTTTCACTGAGCCAGAGGAGAGTTACTGTGGCAACCAGCGTGTAGAAGGCCAAGAGCAATGTGATGCAGGACTTGTGGGTCAGGATGATGTAGACTTGTGTTGTGACAAGCACTGCAAACTGCGTGATGGGGCAACCTGCAGTGATCGTAACTCACCCTGCTGCCACGGCTGCCAGTACATGAGTCAGGGTGTCAAGTGTAGGGAGCAACAACCAGCCACATGTGAGAATGAGTCCAGGTGTCTAGGTACTACAGCAGTCTGTCCCAAAGCCAAACCAATGGATGATGGCACTCCATGCATTGAGAAGGGCCAGTGCCACCAGGGATCCTGCCTCCCCTACTGTGAGACACAAGAAATGCAGAGCTGCATGTGTGACACCAGTAAGCTAATGTTGTTAATGATGTCAGACTATTAGCAGATTCCTTTTAGTCCTCTTAAACTGATTGCATGTTTTATGAGAAAAGTTGTTACTCCCATTTTTCACTGTTTTATGAATTATGGTGGCAAAGCAATGTAGAAGAGAAACATCACACTTTTTATAGAATTTTCCCATTTTGAACAGATGGAACATCTCAGTAATAGTGAATCAATTTGGAAATATCTCATTGGTTTGAAAAGCAGATGAGTATTAATGTTGTGTTATTGACTAATTTATGATTGATGCTTTGCAGTTGATGATGCTTGTAAAAGGTGCTGTCGCAAGACATTAAATGACACCTGTTTCCCTGTCGTGCCCTTGGATATTCTCCCTGATGGAACTCCTTGTATTCATGGGTTTTGTAACAAGGTAATGATTAGGAAAAAACTTGATTGGTAGTAGAAAATCATTTCTAAGTTATAGATTTATGAGAAGCTAAATACAAAAAAGTGTGCAAGATAGCTTCTTAACAAGTCATTATTTTCCTAACAGTATTTCAATTTTGCAGGGAAAGTGTGAGAAGACAGTGCAGGACGTTGTAGAACGTTTCTGGGACATCATAGAGGACATTAATATTAACACTGTACTGATGTTCTTACGGGACAACATTGTAGGGACAGTCATCATCATCTCTGTCATCATCTGGGTTCCAGCATCATGCATTTTCAGTTATGTTGATCGCCGCCGACAAGAGGACTACTGCAAATATGTCCGTTGGTATTACAGCAATGAGCTTATTCACCCAACTGACAGTGTTCGCATTATAGACAGCAAACGTACACGAATACATGAGCCTGGCCGTGTTCAAGAAGCAACTAACCGTGTGCTAGAGTCTGCTGGGCGTCCACATGACCCAGGAACACGAGCACATGACACAAGAGATCCTCCTGAAGGTGCAGAAAGCCGCCAAAATCTTAACACTCCTCAATGCCCCCCGGTGTCACAGCACTATACTAGTGCCATGTAGTTGTGTGACTGCGGATTATATTCTGAGAAATGGTGATATTTTTTAATCCAGAAGAATTCTTTAGGGAAGAATGTAGGACTATTTCATGTGACTGCCAATTTTACACTTTTAGCTTTAACAGTTCCTGGAGTAGTCCATACCAAATCAATCCTTTTTGATAAAGATGTATATACAAAAAAGTATTTGAGAACAATACTCACAATCTGAAGAATCAGCAAGATCCAAATATTTTTAACCTTCTGGAAATTGATAGGCATTCATTGTAGATTAGTGGTAAGCACCAACAGCTGACACATGATTATCCATTGTGTTGGAGTAGCTGACGGTAGTGTAGATAAGTAGAGAGGCATTAGGTCACTATCAGGGATCTCATAGTAGCCTTGGAGTTTGGAGTGTGGAGTGAACCATGTCATTTGTTCATGGTTACTGCCAGTATTTGTAATGATCATGCAAACCAAAGATTCACACACATCATTGATCTCAGTATTTACCAAGGAATTGATATTTTTTACACCATTTTAAAGTTGCACAAACCAATATAGACTTATAGCAGATATTGTAAGAAACATACATTAAAAATAACTTATTAATAACAAACATTTTACTTAAGGGACATAGTAACACACCCAGACTTTTCAAAGAAAACGCAGACTGTATTAAAAGTCGGTGTTAAAATTATAACATTCCTGTCATTCTAAGTATTAAGGCAATATAGATTATATTCAGGAAGTTCTGTGGTTGTGACATTTCTTTGATTTGTTAGAAAATCTTGTAGAAAACTTTGTTAGAAATGAAATTATGTGGAATAGAACTGGAGAGTTGTTTGACTTTTAGGGATTATTGTCCTTAATTTTGTTATGAAACTTTTTATATTTATTACCCTTTGTGGATATCACCTGTTTCTTGGTAAAATTATTAAGATGTTAAGATAAGCTTTTATCCATTATTAAGATAGTATGTAACATGTAGACGTCCTCTGCAAAGTGGCAGTTACAGTATTTATAGGATTTAAGTTGGCGTAATTTTAAGGTTTATTCTTTAGTAGTGATATAGCAGAATAGTAAATGAGATTTTCAGTATGAAAATATTTGATATTTGACTTACTAATTGTATGGAGCATTTAGCATTCCTTACCGATTGGCAGTGAGAGACATGCTATCATGTAATGGCAAGTAATGTGGGTGGTACTTGATTGCATCACAACTCCGTGTCCCAACCACCAATATGAGGTCATGCATCCTCCTGTGAGCTAGACAATCACCCAAGCGCAGAACGGCACACAGGAATGTATACCCGTCCTTGCCCGACATTACCCATTTTGTAAGCTCGATGCATCAAAAGTCTAATAGATGCTATATGTGTTTTGAGTAGTAGCTCTATAATTCAGTTTTTGCCATTTAGACTGAGGTTTTGTCCCAGAAATGGTCTATCAATGGCAGTCTTACAGTGCACATCCATAATTCATAACCTTTCAGTATTCTTTCCTTTTAGATAAGTATTCTCAGCTTCTTTACCAAAATTATATGAATTGTCCAGTCGTACAGCGTGAAAACACCTTTACTTTGCAGTATTTGCTATCATGGTAGGATTAATTAATATATAATTTATGTGAAAAAGTGTAACATCTTGCTTGGGTTAATGTTATCAGCGTGACAACAAATCACACAGGGTGAATGGCAATACGATATGCAATGCTCCTCAGAACTGTGATTTGAGAATGTGTTAAAGTAGGAAGTGACAATAATTCCCCAACTACTGATGTAGTATTTGAATTCTGTGTGTGAACTGATATCCTAGTGCATAGCTCTTTTTTTTTTTCTTTCTTTTTTCTTTTCTTTCTTTCTGTCTTTTAATTTCTTTTTTTTTCTTTTTTTCTAACAAGATCGCTTAAAAATACTCAAAATGTATGCCATACTCAGTCTTTTTATAATTGAATGTTGTCTTTTATGTGATATAAACATTGTTTGAAGCATTACCTAATTTTTAAATACCTGCATACAGAGGATAGTTGGTGAAACTGCCTTTTTTTTCATTTCACATGATTCAGTTTCTTTGATCTAATTTTCTGCCCTCTGCTCTTCATATTTGTGCTTGAAAGGAGGCAGCCATCTATTCTGCTTGAAAACTTCCTCAGTCTACCTCAGTTCATTAAAGTGCAGCAGAAAAGGATATAGAACAAAATTTATTCCTTTTCAATCCCCCCCAATCACATGCCTGTTGATGTCATGGGAGCTTAGGTGACGAAGACTGAGGCCGGGGTTCACCTACCTATACCTTGGGCCTCAGCCTTCGAGAACAAATTTTCTTCTTTTTTTCCCCTTTCCTTTTCCTTCTCTTCAGTCTCTTCTACTATACATTTCTTAAGTTGTGGGAGCCGTATTGAAATGATGAAAGGCTGACTTTGCGCCAGTCATAAACAGCCAAGGGGAGCCAGGGACATGTTTAGTTGTCTAGCTCTTACTCTGCAAGGGGACTCTGAGGGGTGGATCATTTCTCTCCCCAACATACACCGGTTTATCATGGCCAGTAAGGAAGACCACTGGCCATAGTAAAGGGGCATTGAGGCCTGCCCTTTCGTCAACTAGCTTCACTGATTTAAATTCCCCCGGTTCCCTGACCCCAAACTCTCCTTTAACCATGACTCTAAACACTACTACTACCCCTTCTTCAGTGCCTACTGTTTGCAGTACTACTTCATTCAGCACCACCCACTCTTCCATAAGGCCCTGTCCTTCTACTACCACAACCTCTACAAACCTTTTGAGTATTCTGTTTAGCCCAGACAAATGGGATCAATTTTTTGTGAACTCCTCTAAAGCTTCTTACTCTGACAACACTCTCCTCTTCCAGCAATCCCTCCAAAAACAAGAAGGCAGTCTCTGATCACTCCCTCCATGTCACAGTTACATCCGAATCCCGAGTGCCACTGGCAAAGCTCTTCATGTCCAGCCTCATCCCTCTCGTTTACTAATCTTTCTTAATCTTCTCAGCAGAATGCACTGTCTACAACAGGATTGGTCAGAGACTTTCTCACCTATGTAGTTGATTATAATGCATCATCTATACACCATTCCCACTATTGGCCATTGGAAGTCCACCAATATTCCCAAGATTACTTTCATAGACACGACCTCCCCCACATTGTTTATATTGGCAGAGAGTCCCTTTCCTTTCCTACTATACCAACCTCCCCCCCCTATCAGTATCAGAATTATTGGCATCTAGGCCACTCTGTTGCTCCACAGCTCAATGCCCTGTTTGTGCCCAAGCTGCTCATGATTGATCAAACTGGCTCCCATAATATGTTTTAAAGGGGTTTGAGTATGAGCTGGCAAGTCTCAGATAACACTTTCGACAGGAAGCACGTAGACAATGTTTTCCTCAAACTCTTTACTCCAGTGTTGTCCTTTGCTGAGGGGGAAGAAGGGAGACAGACAGACAAAGAAGAGTGTGTGTGAGTGAGTCAAACTGACTGACTGACTGACTGTGTGTGAGAGTGAGTAAGTGTGTGTATGTGAGTAATAAGTGTGTGTGATTGAGTGAGTGAATGTGTGTGAGTGAGTGTGTGAGAGAAAGTGTGAGTAAGTGTGAGTGAGTAACAGTGTATGAGAGTGTTGGCATGTGCATGCGTGCATACATGAGAGTAATTGAGAGAGAAACAGAGTGAGAGTAAGCAGGTGCGTTCGTTCCCTGGTTGCTTGTGGTTTCCTTAACCCTATAGTTGTATTTGATATTGCAACCAAAAGCCTTTTCACCAATCCTTCCAAGTAGCTGAAGCACCATACCTCATTAGCTGCCTATGCCTTTCATGCCGATTTGTTTCAAAATTGCTGTCTATATTTGCATGAACTGTATATTTATATTTGTGAACTTTGTGCCTAAATATTACATATGGTATGCATACTTTCCAATGGGATGCACTTTGTGCCTAAATATTATATATGGTATGCGCCAACATATTTAGGGCAAATCCCCTACCCTCAATCCATTTAAGTTCCATTATTTTTCTTCTCTTTAGAGCATCTTAAAAAGCAGAATAAAGCAATGGCGTAATCTGACACTAGTCACGAATTTCCTTAATGTTAGGTTAATAGCTGATTGTAGTACCATGCAATAGCTGATTGTAGTACCATGCATCTACAATTTGAAAGATATCTAGATTTAAAGTACCAAGTTCCTTGCCTTTTAAATTAGATAACTGGTAGTAAAATAAGGCTTGGTAAAAAGTAGAGTGAAAGGAGGTTGCAGAGCAATAGTTGTTCATCTCTTGGACTAAGATGTGGTCACCACGTCTAGTACAAAAGTTAAGTAATGGAGATCCATATCTAGTACAAATATTAAAGATTGAAGTAATTTACTTGTGTTTATAACACGTCCTAAGAAATTATCAGGAGTTGGAAATTATGTTGAGTGCTTAATATGTGGTTTTCTTCATGTAGTGAAATATAACTGGATACTTGTGTCAGCCCAACTGCACAACTTGCATACTTTGTGAACCATTGAAAAATGTATTTATTTGTTAAAGGTTTTTCTTCTTTCCAAAACATAGGGGAAACCAGCACAAAGTGGTTACTTTTCAGTCATTCCAGATCCAGTAATTTTTTCAAATTCATCATTCAGTGCAAGCTTTATTTATAATAAAACAAAATGGGTTTGTTAAACCTGGTTTGACTTGGTAAACTTATTTTTACACTTGTATGTAACCCCTTAGGAAATACTGGGAAATTGATCTTATTTTTGTTGTTTACTGTTGTTTCCTCATACTACAGATGTAGCAATTTTAGTCAAATTCAACTGTCACTTGCTAATTACTTTAAAAAATAAAAGGATTTTATATTAACATCTTTCATTCATATATCAATGTTTGTGATGTAAAAATTACCTAAATAAGAGGATTAAGGATTTTGAAAACCACTAATTCAAATTTAAAGTTTACTCAAATGATGTGCCTTTTTTCTTGAATGATTGCCTTTTGTTACCAACAGGTTTTTCTTCTTTCCAAAACATAGGGAAACAAGCATAGAGTGGTTTCTTTCAGTCATTCCAGATCCAGTAATTTTTTCAAATTCATCATTCAGTGCAAGCTTTATTTATAATAAAACAAAATGGGTTTGCAGCACAGGATATTTTTAATCTTTAAACCTGGTTTGACTTGGTAAACTTATTTTTGCACTTGTATGTAACCAATCCCTTAGGAAATACTGGGAAATTGATCTTATTTTTGTTGTTGGACAATTTACTGTTGTTTCCTCATACTACAGATGTAGCAATTTTAGTCAAATTCAACTCACTGCTAAACAATTTTATATTAACATCTTTCATTCATATATCAATGTTTGTCAATTTTTTTTTTTTTTTTTTTTTTTACACTTTGATGTAAAAATTACCTAAATAAGAGGATTAAGGATTTTGAAAACCACTATTCTTCTCTTTCCTTTATTCAAAATTTAAAGTTTACTCAGTCTTCTTAATGATGTGCCTTTTCACACGACGGACCTTCTTGAATGGCTGGGCGCGCTGTGACCTCAAGATAGCAGAAGCACGACGAAGAGCAGCCTGTGGAAAAAAAGTAAAAGGTTATTTAAAGAAAATTCACTTCAGAGTGGAACTTTGGACAACATCTTACAAGGACTAGATAAAAAGTTATTGTTCTTAATTCCATGTTGTTCTGACAGTCCAATCTAAAATTCACAAAAAACAAAAAAACACTACATACCATCTTCAGATCACCCCTGTAGTGGTTGAAGCGGATGAATCTCCGGATGGAGTTCAGAGCTCTGCGGGGACCAGACTTGATAGTAGTCTTGACCATGTTCTTGGCTGGCTGGTTCTGAAATCATTAAATACAAAATTTATTGATGGATTCCATAACTTATTAAAAAGTGGTGACAAAAAGAAAATCAAAACTTTGTACAAAGATTCACCCTCAATCTGACATATTCAAGCATGCAACAGGCGAGACCCTATTGACAAGGACACCACGTAGGCATCAGCAGTCTAATGGTTTTGGATAATATAAATTTTACATCCACAAACTTTTAGATAAATTAACAACTTCTTCATTTCTTACCTTGTACCTCCTGGTCTTGAAAGCAAGCACAATGCCCTTTCCATCAGAGGCGGGCTCAATACCAATGAGCCTGTTGCGGCAGAAACCATTGTAGCGTGGGCTGTTTACATTCCTCAGGTTGTTAGTTTCCTGCGTTTAAAGAAAAAGGCCATTTTGTAGAGACGTTTACAGAGAGAAACTGACAATTTGAATAGGAAAACGTTTATATAATTGCAATTTATTTCACCGAGTACTTCACCAAATCTTAATACCAAAGACACTTACGGAAGAGAAAGGTTTCTTGATGTCCCTCCTCTTGACGAGGTAGGCATGATTGTTGCGAATAATCTGCCAACACAAATCCGCTGACATCTTGGCGGTTTCTCTGTAGGAGAGAGAAATTCAAAGTTCAAATACTACACACAAGGATTTTCAAAAGCATTGGAGGAAAATATTTATTATAAATGTAGGTAACCCAAAGCATATGACCTACTTTCTAAACAGCCTAGTTTCCATACTTTTGGACTTCCACTGAATCCCCATTTGTTTTGATTGCTATTACTATTGCTATTATAAACCATATGGAGGGTTCTTGGTAAATTACAAAATGTTCGAGTTTGGGATTTGGGCTGTTTGCTCCTTTTTACTTCTGTGCTTATAAATAAACCCTTATATTTGAGGGCTCAGAACCCACTGAAATAGAGGTATTATTTGCACCATTTCACATTAACCCTTTGGATCCGGTTGCATCATGGAAATCACGGCGTGGCCAATTTGCCTGGTTGACATCACCCAGGCAGCTGCTCAAATTTTTCCACTGTTATGCCTCGGGATGCATTTTCACCAACAATCAAGATGTTTAATAATGTCTTACAGGTCATGATTTAGAGCAGGGTTTCCCAAACTCACTCCCCTGGTGTGTGAGA